AACAAGCGGAAAGTGCATCTCTCTTCCGGGCCAATGAATCAGCTCCTGACTAATTGTACAGTTGGCGACGCTATAGTTGGCGGTCGTACGGTGCACACTGCACAGTGAACTCGAAGATTTCTGCCCAGGTTATGGCGTAATGCCCAAGGTTGCTAAGAAAATCGGTTACGCAGCCTAAAAGTATGGTGTAATACGCGCCACCTGCATACATTTTTTATGTGAGGTATAATACAGGTTTTAGAACATAATCGCGATAAGAACAGTCGAACAGATCATCCATACTGCTTACTGAACTACCTTTTTGTCGTACTCCAAAATATATAGTCAGCTGAGGACGATAATACATGCGATGAATGCTGTTAGAAGTACGAGTACATAGTACATACCTCGAGTCTGTCAAATTTGCTTGCAAATTTTTATACCTAAATTAATTCAGGTGTTTCGCAACGCAAATGAGAGTCTACCAGTATGGTAGCAATACAACTGCAGACATTTGCAATGTTGGAATAAGCTATCTCCTGAAAATGAAACAGGCTGACGCAACCCAAAGGTCAGGACGTCGGCAGACTGCAGTGGTGAAATGACTGAAATCCCTGTTGTTGGGCTACAGCAAACCAAAACCAGGCCTTCTCTGCCTTACGAAAGTAAGAGTTTCGCTAATATGGCGGTACGCAGCCTTGACAGCGGATGCCGAACACTTCCAATAAACGATTGTATCGAACGATTAACCGGACACTGCGCCTTTCTATTTTTCGTATCTCCTTTTGCGATCGTCTCGATCTTTGGCCTTGCTTTAGTAAGCCACTTGCTATTTGAAGCGGGTACGACTTTAAAAAAGGTATACTACAATAAGCAGTTATACGTTTTTGCAGTCTGAAGTGCACTGATGTAATGATGACACCGAGAATGGCCACAGTTTTCGCTTTGCAGCCGTCAGACGTAGGATCTCCTAACTTGTGCTCCCACACTGACATCCCGCTTTTTCTCCTTACACGCACTCTCATTCCGGTAAATGCTGCGACGTCACGGTAGATCTGGGCCTCGGGTCCCAAATGTTTAAAAAAAGCTAACCACCACCATGTCGGCGGTCTCCACCATCGACAGCAACGGGGTTGCCACCACGACCAACAGGTGTCGATCCCCGCAGTTAATCACCGTTAAGGTGAATTTCTGCAGCAGTGGATTATTCACAATTTCACATAAAAGATGTACGGTTGCACCCACACCGGATTCGGATCCCATGTGAGATAGCATGTGCGAGACTTCCATGTCGGCGTCAGATTGATGATGGCATCGGCTAACGGCGGGTTTTCCTTACCGGGGGGTTACTGGAGGTTCCGCCATGCCCAGAACGATGATCACGATGCACAGGATAGATCACGGTCGGCGTCATCTGTAACAGCATTCGAAAGAGGTGAGGTGATGGTTGGACGATAACCGACAGTTGCAAAAAGCAGGACGGGATGGCGCTGATACCTGTCCGCCAGGGCAAACAGCTGGTTTGGGACGTAGTAAGCTGGTGTACTGTTGAAGATTCCCACGTTACCGGAAGCTCGAAGAAATCCGGAGATATATCCCAGCTGGCAGAGAATTCCAAACGCCGGACGTATCAGTTTTTAGAAAACGGATACCTATAGAAAACAGAGTATACTGAAGTATATCACACTTTGCACTGGCGCGAGCCACTTCTTATAGTACTGACCTGCACCTGGGCGTTTTTGTGTTTGACCATTATTCATATCGGACATTTCCTGCTACCATGTCAGTGTTCAAATATGATTCGATGGGCTTTCACGAGTCACGATAGTGGACTGGGGAAAATCAGAAGCTCCTCCCGCTGTTAGCTTGTTATTAGCGCGAATGTCTCGAGAAACGCTAACAAGATGTTGGGACATTAGCCAACCCAAAGCTCGACTGCAAGGTCTCAAGGTAGCTGCGGAACATGCTCGACCACCGGAAGGAATGCTTACTGGTAAGAAATGCAAATTTATGGTCTGCAGAATGCACCTTTTGCGCGCTCGCTCCAGGAACCCCGAGTCGTGGCCACGGTGTACATGCGAATGCGAATGCTTGCTGCGTTCCCTTCCGGTGCGGTTCCGTGCGGGAGAGAGCAGTGAGCTGAATTTTGCCTTTATTCAATAATTATGCGAGTTGCTATACGGTGGGATGATCACGATGGTGGGTAACAAAAAACACTCCAAAGATCACTCACAAATACGGCAGGTGGAAAAACAAAAAGGAAATCTGACGCTCAATGCCTTCAGTAACTTCAGTAACACGAAATGAAACGCTAACTATAACCAACGCGACAAAAATGGAATTTAGAATGCAACTCTGCTGTAGACAGGGAATTCTTGCAAGTGCACAACAGCGTGATGAACAAAGACAAGATGGCATCCAGCAAAGGTCAGCCAATCACTTGCGATGGAAACGGCTTTGCAGATAAATCAGAAGCTTTTTAGAAGGCCAGCGTTTCTCTTGAATGGGTTAACCTAACTACGGTTCTATCATCACAGCGTGCGACTTTGTGAAATTTCTTGCCATTGCCACATAGAAATAATTCGAGCAAATTGAAGGAGATTTGTTTGTTATCGTTTTGTTTTCTTACTCACCGATATACAAATTTGACTTTACGTTTACAGTTCAGAATCATTCAGTTACTAGTAAATCTGATCTGTATTCGACTGAATTACGATCCAATAGGCGGAGGAGAGTCTTCAGTTTTTGCCAGATTGAACTTTACGATTTTTTCTGTTATCCAATGTCAATGTTCCAATTTTTTACTGTTTTCTCCTTGCATTCCTGCTAGTTCTTTGATAATGGGTCATCTTCTCAAAGGTGCTGTCGTGGTTCTGCTGACCTTTTGCGTGCACGGTAGCCTTGGTTGTCCAGCTCAGAAACCTCAGAAAGCTCAGAAAACTCAGGACGAGCTCGCTATGGAGAGAAGTAAGTGTGAATCGTTGTGCAGTTTGTTTTAGTAGGGGAACCTTAATGTGGCACAATTTGCCTGCCGCTTCTGCGCAGGCGACATACGACTTTCATCCCTTTTATACTTGGTGTCAGAATATCCACTCTACTAGCCCCACTACCACTGGGTAGAGGGGCTCATAGTCGTGTAAGAACCTATTGCACACAAGAGAAACGCGGATGCACCATCATGACTGATGGCCCATCTCCCCGGCTTTTTCGTTTTCATAAGTAACACCAGTTGTTCAAAAATGTAAAATCAAAAATTAAGGACACTAACAGTAACCGAGTAAAGATGTACTATTACTGAATAAACACGACATTCGACCGTGGAGGAGGACCAAGAGTGACGTCAGCACGGCCAGCGCCACTGGCTGGCGCTGCAGTACGCTCGCGGTGGTTTCTACGATCCTCTCGTCCCCTTCCCAAACTGATAACTGATGCAATCACGTCAAACTACACAACAACATTAAGAATTCTTTGTAGATTCTTAATTATTGTGATGCTAGTTATGTAAACAGCGGCAAAGTTTGTTTGTACCGAGAAAACTGTTGGAGCCTGGAGCACGCAGCAGCATCTGTTACCCTATCGCGTTTACCTTTTCTCTCATTTAACCCTTCTGTGAACTTATGGTTTAGTCAACCGGATTTTGAACGAAGCCAAAGAAAGCAACGGCAGCGGCACCATGCATTTGGGCGGTTATGGAATCGGTCCGTCATCCCCGAGTTTCCCGGTAGTGGAATGGTCGCCGGGGACGGAGCTCATTCGACCACCCGAAGGCGGCACACTCCTCATTCCTTGCAGCAACCCCAACAACACGCAGGTACGGCATGCATGAGGGATTAAGGGATAGCATCATAAGTGTGGTTTGGTGCACGCTTAAATTCCCAAGGCAACTAGAAAACGTCGTGCAACGGACAGTGTCCCGATCAATTACTTCTCACTTATGGTAAAAGAACATGAAACAATTTTGGGATTAGATTATTAAATAACACGGTGGATCAGCAAGTCTTTTCTCGAGTGAAAAACCGGTTCGAGTTCGCGCAGTTAAGTATCAACTTGTCGTTTTGAATTATACTAAGTCTTGAATTTGTCGGCACTCTACACAGGTGTCCCGCATCGCAATTCCGCCGGCAATGGCATACAACGGAAGGCTGCTTATTATTAATGACGTCCCAAAATTCCTAGAACCGTCTACCGAAACGTTTCACTGCTGCAACTGCACACAGGAAGCCCGTCCCGAGGAAGAACTTCGGTGGGTGGTGGGGGTGTCCGAGTACGATGTGGGGACGGGTGCGTTCACCATCAAGATCGCGAACTTCTCCTACGCCTACACCGGTCTGTACGAGTGCCTGCACTCCAACGGCAGCCAGCGGGTGGTGACCAAGCGCTACTGGGTCAGCCCCACCCACTTCCGCCACGACGTCTTCCACCTGCCCATGACCAACGTCACCGTCCGCCACGGCGACCCAGCGGAGATGGTCTGCCCGGTGCGCTTCAATTTCCTGCCCGGAAAACTGAGACACCGTTTTCTGTGGCGCAGAGGAGACGATCTGCTTTGGGCCAAATCCATCCTGGACTTAGCCGACGCCGTCACAGCGCCTTACGACTTCAACGGGTTTTTTCAGTTCGCCAGTGACGAGCAGTGTCGCTGCAATTCCACCATGAAGCTGAGGAGCGTCACGTGGAAACACGCCGGTTGGTACGAATGCTGGTTCCGCATCAACGACCGTCTGGACGAGTGGATTATGCAGAAAGCCTACCTACACGTCATTTAAGTGCAGATCCACCTTTCAGCTAGCGGCTCGGCAACGGCGTGTATACTGATCTTCGGCAGCTTTGCATCTGCAGCATTTCGTTTTGTACCTCTTTAGTTTTTGTATTTTATTCATTGATGGTATGTTGTCTGTTGCCAGCTTGAGCAACGCTCCCGCTTAACGCCGTCTACCGCACAAATGCGTACTCTGTACTGACTCATGTACATACACCATAGTGACCATACAGTATCCTCCGCTGATGTATTTTCTACATTAATTAATAACATGCATAAAGTAATAATCGTGGCAAAAATGTCTAGTGATTTTTCTAGTTTCTTGCCCAGGTCTTACAGCAAAGACGGAGTTTCGGGCAATACCGTACGGGCAGGCGCTTCACATCAGCAGTCACTAGAAAATAGGGAAACAAATAATTCTATCTGTAGCAATGCAAAAGCGGTTGTATTTTCTACACTCTGCAATGCTTTAGTGACAACACCGAAAAGAGCCAACAGGTTTCGCTGCGCAGCCGTCAGACGTAAAATCTCCTAGCTTGCGCTCCCACACTATCATCCCGCTTTTTCTCCTTGGCGGCGCTCTCTTTCCGGTAGCGCTCCGCCATTTCCCGCGACGTCACAATTCGCAAGACCACCTTCAAGCGGATCCTCGCCTCCGGTCCCGAGTGCATCAACAGCAAAAAGTTATCCACCACCAAATCCGCGGTCTCCACCACCGACAACAGCGGGATGGTCACCACGCCCAACCGGTGCCGGTCCTCGCAGTTAATCACCGTCAGCGTGAACTTTTGCAGCAGTGGATTGCTGACGTAGAAGATATGCTGCTGCTCCCACACCGGATCAGACGTGCGGTTGCACGTCCGGGATTTCCACGTCTGGGTGTCGAGATTGAGGATGGCCTTGGGCGAGGGCGGGACGTCCTTCCCGGGAGACCGCGGGAGGTTCTCCGCAGAGTCCAGGACGACGATCAGGATCCCGGAGGACAGCGGGGACTCCGCGTGCGGCGCTAGGTACCGGCATTCGTGGAGGGCGGACGAAAGGTCATCGCGGTTGGCGGAGAGGTGGAGCCACTGCAGGCGGAGGTGCACCTGGGTCTTGGTGGCGCTCTCCAGATCGTACCAGCGGTCGACGGACTCCGCCTCCACCACCGGCGCGGAACTGACCAGCACCGAGCCCAGGAGCTGCTCGTTCTCCTCGTTGATGAGCTGGAGGTGGAGGATCTGCCCTTCCGGCTCGGTGACGACGAAATCGAACATTTGGTCCCAGTTGGGGTTGACGCTCTTGCGGACCGGTTTGCTCTTGTCCTCCTTGGAACCCAACTGCAGTTTGACGTAGGGACTGCACTCGTGGGCGGTGATCGGGCCGGTGTCCGGCGCCAGGAGGTCCCGGGCGGCGATGAGGTGGACGCGGAGGACCCCGCGCGGCATCACAAACATCACGTCGTTGTAGACTTGACTACGCGCCCACAGGAACGTCTGCCGGTTCGGCAGGACCACCATGGACTTGAGCTGTTCGTGGACCAGCCGGTGAACGGTGCCCTTCATCCCCGGGAAGAGGAGGAGGTTGGTCATGTCGAAATCGACATCGGGCGGGTTCAGGAAGAAGAACTCGATGCCGCCTGCAAGAAAACAGAAGATTACGCAAAGGTCACTGAGGGAACGGGTGGGGTCCTAAAGGGCACATACAGCGATTAGGGTGCGCCACCTATTAAGGGCACCTGCCCCAGGATGGGTTTGAGGATGACGCGCAGGACGCCGCGCAGCTGGACGTTCTTGATGCCGGCCTTGATGCCGGAGACGCTGCAGGCGAACTCGGCGTTGCCGTTGTAGTACATCTCGCAGTCGAACATGATCTCCTTGCGGTCCAGTGCGTCGCGGTACATTTGATGCCGACGATGCGCAGCGGGATGGTGCCCATGGTTAGCGTCTCGAACTTGAAGTTATAGGCATGCTCGGTCGCATTGATGACAAATCTATAAAAAATCTTAATTAATAATAACAAATTATACACGTGCCAAAAATTTTTACATGGTCAAAAGTAAATTATTCGAAAAACTGAAATTATCGGTGTTTGGAAAAAATTAACGGGTGATGAGTAGAGGGTATAAATCAGCCGAAAAATTTTTCGTAAGTGTACAAAAACTGAATAGGTAAATCCTGATTACAAATGTACCGAAACCTTCATTATAAATTAAATAAATTCTTTATCTCAATAATAAGTATATAAAAAAAAATTTGATTTATCGAAAGGTCATCAGTTAAATTCTTATAAGTAATTGTAGGACAAACCGCTCGAAACGCGTGGAACAGAACTGGCTCAGAAGGTCGCTGCAGGGCAGCCACATGCGGGCGATGGCCGTGTTGATCCATTCGACGCGCTCAAAATCCGGGAAGGTGATCCAACGCGGCAGGGCACCAGCGGCCGTCTCAATAATCCGACGCTGCTCATCCGGGGAGAACTCTTCCAGCCGCGGCAAAGTCCGTGGTCGAGATGGGCGTCCGCGGCCCGCGATAAACTTGACGAGGAGCACCAGCAACCGCGCAGTCAAATAATAAATGGGGTGTCGGTCGCGCGTCAGGAAATACACGGCAGCATCGTAGGCGAAGTCAAGCAGAACGGCCAAAAAGGGCATTTATGGGCGGCCACCATATTGTAAGAAAAACGTAGCATTGTCGGGGTCGGGTGTCGTTATTCTTATGGAGAACTGTATATGTGTATGCAGCATATTTGCCCTTCATGTATTAATTATCAAGAGCATCGTTTTCTGCTAACTCGAGGCAGCGGCAAAGGTGTTGCTATAGGCCTCAAGAAGCTTTGATGTTGTCAGTATGGTATCAACTACTTTCAAGCATTTATTATTGCTCACTTCGTAGTCAAACAGTACGTACGTATTCTGTAGTTACTATTATACGAGCAATAATTATTCTGATGTTAGTAATACGTATCTCGATGGCAAACTGGACACACATACCAGTTACATACTGTAAGTTAGTACCGCTTTACAGCCAGCTTCAGGGACATGATTGACTTAAAAATAAGAATTAGCCCGACACGCACACTGCACAGCCGATCACGAGTGCGAATTAGGAAGCCCAACGGACACAATGTGATTGACGCTTTGGTGCAAGATGTAGTCTAGCGTTTTCTTGCGGTGGTGGTGGCCATACGGCGCTGCGGGGCCTTGGTAGTTTTTCTGGGCATGTCCAGATCGTCCTCCACCATCTGCGCGATCTCGATGATGTCCTGATTATCCAGCAGCACCACGTCCTGGCCGCGGTACAGCCGGGAATTACTGTAGTCGTAGAAATGGATGGACTGCCTGCAGTCCACGTTGAACCACCAATCACACACCAGACTGATCTGGTTGAACACCTGCATTCCCCGTCCGTGAAGGCGTAAACACCGTCAACAAACGAAACCACACAAAAGCAAAGCAAACAAATCGAATTTACCGTCATATTGGGACACAGGTAGCTCCACAGTTGGCTATTCGTATCGCACCGCCGAATCACTGTAACAAACCAATGGTCAGCCGTATTTTAAAGCGGATGAATGTTGTCTAAGCGGTTCTCCATGTTGTGGCTATCGGTTCTGACCAGCTTACCATGAGCGCTGCATGACTGGGCACATTCACTGGAAACTGCCCAATCTATATTTTCTAAACCTGACTTAAGTTTTTGTTCGTCTTTCCTTCGTACGGAGCGTTCTAATTAAATTAGGCCTACGATGTGGCTGCACAGTGAACTGGTAGTTTTCCCTTGTGGACAGATGTGGAAATCGCAATCATAGCTGATTCGTGATTTGGGCATTCTTTCCAACCTGTACAGCCGTTTGCTCCCTAGAGACGCTGTATAAGACTATAAGCAGTTCCAGTTGCGACGCTTTAAGAGTATTGTTTTATTATCTATCCGTTGGTCAACGAACGCCGGACGCACCTTGGCAGCGGGTGTCCATATCGGCGTAAAATCCCGGCTGATGCTCCGCACACTGGAAGCTCCCCACGGGAATACTATCGAGAATCGGGTAGTCGACGTCGGGTCGGCCGCTGCGCAGGAGATCGATGGTGTCGACCGTGGTTAGGTGGCGCTTTCCTTGGAGAATGGCCAAGGAATCCCACACCGACGGATTCTGTGGCGGAACGACGGAGTTGGCCATGATCACCGGGCTCGATTGCTGCCAATACATACAGATACACATATAGCATTGAGTCGGCATTTGCGCATGATTAAACCAGTGTCCACTCGAACCGGCTAGCGGAAATAAATCTTAGCGACATCACTGGAGGCAGGCACATAATTAAGCACTACAGTCTGTATCTTTACGCTATCTTGCTACACAAAATTTTACTTTATTTCAAACTTGTGACCTTGTTACATGAAGGTCATCAACGCAAACTGCACAACGGACAGGCTGTTGCAAACATTAACGGAGCTGTTAATTACCGGTTGCGCGACGTTGGCCACTGCTGAGATCAGGAACAAGGTCCACATCACGTCGGCCATCAGTTTCACCAGCGACATTCTCATTTCTCGGATTAGGATTGCAATAGTTATTCAGACAGGCAAGTGCAAAATTAGGGGCCTCGCCGCTCAGAAGAACCGCTGTCAGCCACTCAAGCTTTACCTAACACTCACTATTGTTAAATTTCTTAAAAAGTCACAAAAAAACTACCGTCAAATCGGAATAATGTTTTCGTTAAAGCGCACCGAGCTAAGGGATGATTTGATTCGTCAGCATGCCACTGCACTACGAGAATGCGTTAACACTGACTGTCTCAAACAGCTGACTGCTGCGCAATCGCATACCAACAAACTTACACTGCCGCCAAAAGTGTCAACATTTACTTCAAACGTGGCTGCCGCAGTAACATGTTAAGCCATCGGCCGCGTGAAGCACCCTCTCCTCCACGCCCCGTGCGCCGACGATACACGGATATGCCGGTGAAGTGACCGGCCGGCACAGGCGCGTAGTGCTAGTTTGCCACGGCTGGATGGCGCTCCACAAAACGGTCACCCATGCGGACGATCACTCAGCTTTTCCATCACACTTCCACACCACTTAAAAGGCGCGTGACGCAACGGCTGCTGCAGGATGAAAAGATGACACCGTGTGTCCATTGCGCTCGGAAATTATTCATTTATTATTTGTGGCACATGTTTTACCCGGCAAGTATTCGTTTATTCGAGGCACTTTTGTTTTTTACTCTAAACCATTTATTACTATGGCTTCTTGTTGACCTTTTTACTGGAAAATCACTAAATTATGTGCAGACTTTTTATTTCTTTAAGAAATTATTTACTTTTCAGGCAGCTGTTTTACGGGGTTTTTCTATCGCGAAAAGATTTTTCCATGGCATTTTTTATATTTTCCTGCTGGCAAATTAATCATTCATTTTGTCAATTTGGTCTCGATCTTTACGAAAAAAGTGTTCGCTATTGTTGCTAAAATATGTCCTCGTATATTGCTTTGCTGGGGGAATTATTAATTAATCGAATACTTGTGGCCTTTTTCATATTTTTTCTTGCTGGGAAAATTGAATGTTTTGCTTCTTTACTGGGAAGTTATTCGCTTATTTGCGCCAATATTTTATGTACACTGTATTACAGGAAATCATTAATTCATGGATTATGTGTGGCATTTTTTATTCTTTCAAAGAACTGACATAACCCATAATCAGCATCAGCAGCTAATAAAAGGCATTAATTAAGTCACATTTCAACCGGTGTACAATTGAGTCAAAAACGGGACGCACAAACGCGTCCCGTTGGAGTCAGCAGCCAACTATCATCCAATCCACGACATTCATCCCAAAGAAACACCATAAGATTTAGTCCATTAAACAAGGAAAACAGGGGGCCGGTCGGTCGAAGGCAGGAGCAGCAGAACGAGCAGAACAATCAATTTTAGAAAAAGACAACACATAAAACAGGCTAAAAAAGGCCGCGCCGGCAGCGCTAAGTGTAGGCGCCGGCGAGGGCCTCCAGGCGCAGCATCAGCTCGCTAAAGGAGGGCCGGTTCTCCGGGATGGGCTCCCAGGCGGCGCGGATCATCTCGTAGATCTCCACGGGACAGCCCTCGGGCGCCTCCATGCGGTAGCCCTTCTCCACGTGCTACACCCATCACAACGCATATTTTCAATGTACGAGACAAATAATATATAATACAAATACATTAATACACATATATATCTATAAACAAACAAATAAAAATGTATCAGATACTTATTAATTTATTCTTTTATTTACAGAGATATAATATATCTCGGTATTTATTATAACCCTTTATGCAGGCAATAGCCAATTAAACGTAACAAAAAGCCTGCACCGAAAGACACTAATTAAAAAAAGTTCGAAGTTACACATTGAAAAAACAACCGAATTCATTACTGTCATTATTTATTATGTATGTATGTATTTATTTAGCTATGTATTTATAAGTTTTACACATATTTTTTTAAATATGTATTTATTTAGATATTTGTTTATGGAGATAATATATGAGATTCTCGTATATCTCCATAGATAAATATCTGAACAAATAGATATCTAAATAAAAAGTAAATAAAGAGATGTCTCGTATAGCTGCAGAAATACATTAAAACCAACAGAAATACAGCAAAATATTACACCAAACACGTTAATTACAACCGAGTGTACAAGGCATAACTGTAGTGTGATGGCACGTAAGCCCGGTTACCATTGCTTCTTCAGTACGTATTAACGAATGGCTTGTAACTGGCTTATTAGAAGGCACAGTAGTTTCGTATTGTTTTCTATGATTTTCAATTTCAAGGATCATGGGTGGTGATTTTCCTATTCTGATTCCGTACACAGTATTAGAGAGTACGATTAAGGGGATAGTTTTTCCTGTTGTGACTGCATTCAGTCCATACTAAACAGAAATTCAATCAAACATAATTTTATACAAATAAATAATAGATAGATATTTATAATATAATTTTACACAATAAATTTCCTCATTTTTAACTAATTAACTTCCTAAAGATATTATTAAGTAAATGAATAACATCATCAAGAATAAAGCAGTTTCTCCGACGAATACCATTCATTCACCATAAAAAAACAGAAGCGAAAGAAATACAGTGAAAAATTCCACGTAGCAGGTAACTTGAAACCAAATCAATAACGGATGATCGTAGTACTGTGGCACGCGCATAAAGGTCACACTTACTTTAATTACTGTAGTATGCGTGATGGCTTCTGATTACCTACTGGCGTACAATTTGTACAATTTAATTTAGTTCGAAACAGTTTTCTCCTAGGCAACTGTTTTTTTAAGTATTATTAAACATAAAATAATACTCATGATTATTATATTAAATCAAGCAAAATGACAACACTTTTATTTCTAGTTTATACTAAGAAACTTTTCAAAGAAATTAAGAAATAACGGAATAATATCAAACAAAATGAGGAAATCTCCCCGACGAAAATCACTGATAATAATTACTAATTTTTATGTCACAAATATTTACCGCATTGCAGCGAAAACATCATTATAATCGACAATAAATCGATGTCGATGCAAACTCACCTTGACAACGTCGGCCAGGGGTATTCGCGGATACGGCACCCGTCCAAACGAATAAATCTCCCATAATAATATGCCGAAACTCCACACATCCGACTTATTAGAGAATCTCTGCACAAATACCACCGCATTTTTATTACCGCATTTTAGCGCAGATTCGCTAATTACAGCATTACGCGTCCCTACGTTTTTCCCACTCTTACCACATTTCACCATTTGAAATAAAACAATAATTTTCACATTTTCTCCATATTTTCCTCTATGAACTATTTCAGCAAAATTAAAACAAATTTAGTTTATAAAAGGCTTAAAAGCCACCCTAATTTATCAGCCATAAATCGCCATTACATTTTCCACAACGTACTTGGTATTTCAAAAAACATTAGGAAATAATTTCATAATAATTACTGTAAACGTTTGAACGCAGTATATCTAATTTTCCTCTACAGAATGTTTTCGTAAAACTGCAAAATAAATCGGGAAAACTATGGCAGATAATTTACAACGCCAACCGGGATAACTGGCCTGCCGGAATGTTTGTCAAGACGCACATTGTACTTGAGGGCCTCGGGGGCGGTCCACTTGATGGGCAGCTTGCCGCCGTCGGTGGTGAAGTTGATGTCGCGGGCCAGCCCGAAATCGCTGACCTTGGCCGTCAGCCCGTCCGACAGCAGCACGTTGCGCGCCGCCAGATCCCGGTGGACCACCTTCTTGGCCTCCAGGTGGGCCATGCCGGCGCACGTGTCCCTGCAGTCACCACGCATCAAATCACGCCACACTGCTTTGCCTAATGTGCCGTCTTATCTTGCCGGTATTTTACAGAAATCGACAGAAAACTGATTCCCCACACGGAAAAAAATACTAAACTCGCATATACAGAAAATGACTGAATATTCTTCTAAAACAGTCAGCGTGTCATCACCTTTTTAATTGGAACACAAAGCCATCCCACTACAATATTTCTTGTTCAACAGGTACGCCGCCGACTGAGATTTTTGGCAAAAAAATGTAAAATAAATTTGTTTTCTTATTTTTACAGACGAAACGGAATAAAGCATGATCACTATGGCTGAACTAAAAAGTCGAACTTGTCGACCAGTGATTGTTTGAAAAATTAACACAGGAAAAAAGTAGACGCACCGGGAGAAGAGGAGCTGGTCGCGTTTGGTGACGTGCTGGCGGCCGCGGGAACGCAGGAAGTCGACGAGGTTGCCCTTGCCCATGTACTCGGTGAGGAGGTACACGGACGGCCCGTCCAGCACCACGCCCTTCAGCTGCACCAGGTTGGGATGCCGCAGGGCCCTGCAGCATGTGCAAGCGGTTGTTTATTCATTCGCAATTTATTGAAATGGCCACGCATGTCCTTACGTCATGACGGACGCCTCGGCCAAGAACATCTGCACGGCATGCGGATCCTTCAGGCTCTTCACGGCCACTTTGCAGCCACGCAGATAACCCAGCAGAACGTCTACAACACACTGCACTTTAACAGCCAAAAACCAACACAATATCACCAAAATAATTTAAACTCATTTTATATCAATATTAAAAATTACAAAGAGTAATTAAAATTCAAACACAATAATACTACACTTTCAAATATATCGTTTTACCCGGTAAATTATGTTAATAATACTACAGTTTTAACTTATAATATACTTACTGTAGGACTTTTAAATCATACTTTGTACATTTGTGTAATATTTTTATTTATCCTGGTTTCTAAGTGCTATTTTTTTCGCAGTCGTTCGCCTGTGCGGAAAGAGAATTTATCCATTCGGTGGCCAGTGTTTCCTTACCTCCGAATTCGCCCTTGCCGAGGACGTCGCCGAGCTGCAGCTCCTGACTGGGCACCACCCACCCGGCGTCCTCGAAGGCTTTGGTGTCCACGCAGACCTCGTGGTTGCCCTTCTTCGGCACCGGAATGCTCAGCTGCGTGCACAGCCCGTCCGCGTCCAACTGATAATGCTACACAACCAAACAATTTTTTAACGATTAAATATGTATCCTACGACGCCTCCACGGTCCACACTTCTCCTAACGCAATCAAAAATAAAATAAATACAATCTTTTAAAAAAATATTAATTTCAAAACGCATGGATTAAAATTAAATCATTTTAATTAGTTTAAATTTGCGCAGGCTTCTTGTCATTGAGTACAGGCTGTTGTGGAATAAAAATCAATAAACAAGTAATCCAATAAAATGACGAGTAAAAATTAATAACAATTTAAAACAATTTTTTAAAGCAAAATAAATTCTTACTGATTAAATATGTAAGTACAATACAATGCGCCGATACGACGTCTCCACCCTTCGCCAAGAATCAAAAATAAAATAAATACAGTCTACCAAAAATTATTTTAAAAAAAAAAACTTCAATTAAATACGAGTAAAAACCACAATTCTTATTCGCAGCACTAATCAAATAAAACTAATTCGTGCCATTATAACGTTTATCACAATAATACAGTATCCAAAATTTCACGACGGCTGCATCATTTGGCTGCCGATTTTCACTCAGTTATTATTTGGACGATGCATCATTTAATAATCAACAATTTATTTAGAATTATTTCTTAATCACAACGACTTCTTTTCCAGTCAGTTTAATTGACGGTAAACGAACAATAATTTAACCGGCTAATTAATCGGCCCTTGTCGACAAAACGGGACACCATGAATTATTGCCCATTAACCCAAAATTTATTGTAGCTTTTAACTGGAACTAATTATCATTCTCGCATCTCAACCGATACATTACGCACAGCTCATGAAACCCGCGTTACAGCACCCCGAAAATAAATTCAACCGACAAGTGTACTGCGCATGACCGCCAGCCAAGTCAGTTACCCGGCGAATATACAGCCGAAAAACGCTTGCTTTCCAATGATGATACACACAACACAGCCATCATTCAAATTTCCGGTGTGCGCGCGGCTTTTCTCTGACTCACGCCGGGGTCGTGTCTATAGTTCGCCATAAATCATCGATATAATTGGCCGGTCTGTGTCGTGCTGCGCTCCAACAGGTTAGCGCTCGGTATTGCAGCATTAAATGCCGCAATAATCACGCTTTTAGCCAACCGTCGGTATTTCCGGCACATTGGGTCGGCCCGGCCGCGATTTTGTTAAAGAGCGCATTTCACGTGCAATTTAGCATGGACCCCTTCGTAATCACATTTCCATACAGTAGCTCCTAACGGGTTACACAATTTTATGATAATTTCTTTTCCGAATCGCTGGTTGCAAAGACGCCATGTATTTATCGTTCATTTGTTATATTTTGAAGTTTATTGAAGCTTAAACGAGTGTTACGATTTAGGGAGTGGCGCGGCACAGGGCAACAGACTTCACAGACGTGCAGGCGCCAATAGAGAAAATGTTTATGTATTTAAAATATAATAAATAATTTTACGCTAATTAAAATGCTATCAAAATTATTGCTGAGCGAAGCTCGCTTTGTACATATTGAGAAATAAATGCCCAAATTAAAATTATCATCATAAAATTATCGTCATAAAAGTTATCAACATTATCAATATCATCATAAAATTATTATCGTAAAAAATTGTATAAAAATTATTATTAGAAAAATAAATAACTATTTATTATCGTTTGTTTCTTTCCTATTTTTCAAGAAGGACATCTAAGTTTAAATCCGCTAAAAAAAACAATAACCATACAAAAATACAACGAAAAATTAGTAATGAAGAAGAACAACAAAAATTAAAATGATAAAAAATAAATAACAAATAAACAACAATAAAATAACAAATATTATTTTTTTTAATTTTCACGGAAGACATCTTCATTAAATCAGATTTTTTTAAGATAGAAAAGGTAAACATGGAAAAAAATTTATGACAATTTTTTTATTTTTGCTAATGTGTACAAGTTCATTAAACAAACACTTCTGTCCCGAAACTTTTGACAGCACAAGATTGAGCCCCGCTCAACGTGTCACGGCAGCTTAATGTAACAAAACCGAAACGTCAGAAAAATCAGCGCTGATCTGGCTAATATTTATTCGATCTGCCGGCAACGTGTTTCGCATCCGTCGCATCATAAAACATCGGAAAAATAACTGCGCGACTGTCAATATAGCGAGTCTATACACTGACCATCCGGCAGCTGATTTAATTCTGGCCAGAATCAGCACCGGCCACGCCAGAAAACGACAACAAACCACCGACTTGTTCGCGCTACACCAGTGTTTTTCGATGAACAGCCTTAACGGTAAGACTGTGGCCACTTAACTGCCGCGCTACAGCCCTTTCTGACATTTCTCACAAATCAGGTCAACGAGTTTCTAAACAACTACCGACTAGTCACTACCGTCTTTTTTATTCACTTTAAAAATCGCGGGCGACTGACTCGCAAAAGAAAAACTGTCACACATCTTTTCCGTCACGCCAACAATGATTTTCCTCGATTTATTCGAATAACTTGCATTTTATTTTCCTCTCCAAACATTTTATATATTTATTTTCGATTATTTATTATGTTAAATTTCAACATTTATTAATATTATTATTAAATATTAATACAGCTCTTCCTTTTTTAATAAATTATTATTGTTTTATTTATTATTCGATTATTTTAACAGTTATTTTCGAGATATTGCCAAAAATCACCCAAAAAAAGCCAGTTATATTAAAAAAACAATTAACTGGAAAATTATTCTTAAAAAAATTAACTACAGAAATTTAAATAAATTTTTTAAGTAAATAACAAATATTGCCGGAGACTGCAAACAGCCCTGAAAGACTGCAGACTGTTTATCCTAATTATACATGAGCCTTCAAGTGGGCACTTGCCGAGGAATTGTGCGTTGATAAATGGTTGGAAAAGCCGCAGAGAGTCAGCACAGGTGCGTACATTAATCACCTGGCCGATATTCCAGCGCTTGCAATGCTTTACAAAAACCCCACTAAACACCCGTCATCGCATTCATTGCTGACTGGTTCGTGTATACAATTATCTCCCTAAACGCATCAAAAATGCTGCAGCCTGACATTCATCGGATATTAAACGGCCAGCAATCGCCAGACACCCCAAAAAATACAAAATAAAAATAAATTTTATTTTCCAATTGAAAAATCCATTTTTTTACATTTTCACCCATTTTTTCAGTTTTAAAAAAAGGACTCTAAAGTAAAACACTTCCACATTAGAGACAAAAATTAAAACTGATCAAAGTGAAGACGAATTCAGCGGAGAAAACGGTTAAACAAAATCAAAAAATACAAAGAATCACAAAAATAAATAAACAAAAATTACAAAAAAATAAAATCAATACAAATATACAAAACAGTATTAAAAATAACCAGAAAAACAAATAAACAAAAAATTCAAAAAAATGTGTGTACCTCGACAAGTTGTGCGAGGGTATCGAACATCTCCTCCTCGTCGATGGTGAGGAGGTTGTTGCGGTAGATGATGTGGTAGTGCTCCACTTTGCCGGCGTAGGACACGCACAGGGTGTAGTCGCCGGGGAAGTTGGTGCTCTCGCGCACCAGGAACATCCCGTCGAACGGCGGCGTCAGCAGCTGCTCCGCCTTGTCGCGCCCGATCTTCCCGTGGAACCAACTGCAAAAATAAGCAAAAGTTTCGCAAATATCGGGAGACAGCTGACCGTATAAAAATGCCTTCCTGTTGTTTCCGGTTATTTAAATCAATATTTTAATTATTACTCCCTATTCCGAAACTTTTTCAAGTCGACACAGCAAAACGATTCGCTAATTTGGCTTCATTTTTTCCTGCCATTTTCTGACGGTATGATTTTTATATTTTAGGCAATACTTTCCTTAGTTCGAAAATAACGCTCGGGATTCATATTTTTCAAATCCATTTTAATTCGTTTTAAATTCTCAGAAATCATTTTTAACGGGAATAATACAAGTTAATTTCTTTCAACTGCTGATTTAATATTTAATTAATTTAAAAATATTTTATGTCCCAATATATTTAACAATGTTTTAATGTCTTTAATTTACTTTAAATTCTAATAGACCTTTTAACACAAATAGCATAAGTTAATATTTGTCAAGTGCTGATTTAATATTTATTTATTTTAAAATTATTTCGATATCCTTTCACGACGACGCTTCCTTTGGAAATTCGAATAAAAGCCCTGAAAATCGTCAATAATTTTCTCCCATAATTCGCGTGATCTGTTAGCCGATCCAGTACAAACTGACTCATTTTACAGCCGTTTTTATCGGCGTAAACCGATCTCTTTTCAGCGATATTGACTGTGTAAAATATGGGTGAAAGGAGATGTTGAAGCGCGATAAAAAGGACAACAGTAGCCTGCCAACATTCTCTTATTTCCTCTCACAACACAACCCATTTTCCGCCGGGGCTAGCTATCAATTCTCCGTGTCAGCCGCAGAATGGTGTCAATTTTGTTATGGCACAACACGGCTATTTATTAAAATTTCGCGGGGAGATGTGTGAACAGTAAACAGCCGATCCGCATTCTCTATTGTGGCGCGTTGTGTGTGTGTGCATTTTCGGAATTTCAACAGCATTTTACGGCGCACACCTCATCCACCTCATCAGCATATCAATGGGCGTCGAGATGCTACCGAACCTGCTCAATTATTGACACAGCCACAATCCGGCCATTTTCCTCCGCGCACCACTCGCCAAACACCGCGTTGCGCAATTAATTCACAGCACAATTTGCATACCAGCTCCTACTTGGCGAAACCACAATTTTCTCACACAACCTCACAGAGTCAACTAGGCAAACAAACAAATGACCATAATTTCGAATTTTCGGATATCATGCCAAAGCTGATTTAAGGAAAGAGGCCTTTAAATAATATTCCAAAAAATGTAGGATGATTTCAAATTATTTCTGATTATTTATGATTTCAAATTATTTCTGATTATTTATGATTTCTGTTTGAGAATTCAGTTTATCTGTTTCAACTCTCAGATCATATCGAAAGCTTTAAAGAAACGGTCAAGAAATGGGCATCAAATCAAATTAACCGAATGATTATAACTAAATTTTATGCAGCAATATTAGCATTCGGTGAGGTGTCAGTCCATCAAAATTTCCATTAGATTTGTGACTTTTTGAAGGATTAAAATGTATCCATTAATACTTAATCCTCATTAATTACCATGTTATTTCGTAATTTTCCACTTATTTGGTTATCTCCAACATTTCCTGCAACATCCCAAAAATTTCAAATTATATAATTACATTTTCAAGTTTACTATTCAATAATATTCAGCAAAAGGTAATTCAAAACATTTGAAATTACAACCCTGATTTTTAAGAAACTAATAAAATTCCAAAGAAAATGTCAAATCAAAGAACGATAAAAGGCTCATTTAATAAAATTAAAACCTTATGGGTTTTTAAAAAAATTGATTGAGCTCCAAAGAAAATGCAATATCAACAAACGACAGATTAATGTAAGAAAAATTAATGCAAACCCTAATTTTTAAAAAGATTATTCAGGACCAAGAGAAACGCAACAGTGCAACACTCATGGAAAATTCAAGATCACTGTCAAGAAAAATTGAAGATGCTCGGCATGTTTGGAGGAAAAAAAGCCAGCATTAAATCGACGCACGGCTATCTAAACTCGAGGCTTGGCCGCACACGCCAGCCGCGCAGCAGTATACTAACACAGCCACGCTCTGACCCAGCTATTGCGAAGAACCCACCCCGAGGCTCCAGCGAGCCACCCCGCGATTACGCAGCAACCAAGAATTCTGTCCCTTCTCCGGGCATCTAATTACTCTCACTTACGGCATGGCATGCAGGCGCACTTCGGCCTTGTAGCCATTCTGCTGCACAGGCGCCGCTGAGGAGCCATTATTATGGTGTGACGGAGCGCCGTTGACGGTGGCAGGCGGATTACTGGACTGCATGACGTTCTTACGGATGAAACGCGGCAGAATTTGGATCATGGAGCTGCTGGGCGCCACGATCAACACGGACAAGAATCCACACAGGTCTCGGCATCACACAATGAGAGGGAAGAGTGAAGGGGCAAATTAGCCAGGATTATCCGACATGATCAGACACGTTTCAACAGGCCAATGGATGTAATCCGCTGTTATTAGCCTTCGACGATCAATGGCCAGTTTAAAATTGCGGCGCACACAGAGATGGATGGGAAATTATAGCTGATAATGGAGATTGATACACGCAGATCAATACGGTTGGGCTTTGAGGAGAGTTTCGAGTTTAGAAAGCGAAAGAGACGGAGGACGGAATGGAAAATCGCTGGGGCAGAAATGCAACACCAGCTGCCAGCGACGCCAGCAACGTAAACAGTAATTAGCGCGCTGAGCGCCGCCGCCGCGCCATACACTGACGCCAACGGCACGCCATTGCGGCAAGTTTACTGTGTAGTGCACACCGCCGCCGTCCGCCTGCGTCCGCGCTGTGCGACAGTTGTTACTTTGGTAGCGCCAAGTCCACAGTAACGCCGTATTAATGGTACGAGGACGAGCTTAGTACATGTGATAGACAAAAAAACTAGCGAGAGAATCTGATAACCATTTGCGTGCTGTGCAACACTGTCAGCCACCTTAGGCTGGCGGTAGCCGCGCGCCGTCACGCAGCCGTTAGCTGAACACGGTCTGCTATTTACGGTAACGCACACTCGTATTGAAATTTAAATGCGAGTTTTGTTTTGGTTTTATAACTCTGTTTATAATTGGTTCTCCGCAAAATTTCCAGTAACCAGTGACTGACATTAATTAACCAATCTCTTGATAGTAATGTTATAAAATTACCATCTAAATATAAAGATTCATCTGGCGAGATGTACTACGATGAGAAATTGAGAATATCACCGACGTACGGCTACCTGCCAGTTTGTTTTCTGCACCTGCGATGGAGATTTCTTTCACGAGTATCAGCGTTGTTTCGGGCCTACCGTTGAGTGAGAATTGTGTGGAGGAACCTGCCAGCGACGTCCTCAGAAAAAGAGAAAACTTAAAGATTCTCGTCTGCGCGCCGAAGCAGGGCTTATTGCGACTGACAGTAAAGTAATCGCAGCGCTCGAGCAACGGGAAGCAGAAAAACTGATGCAGAAAAATAAGCGAAAAGAAACACTCGTAGCGGACTTAGCGATGTGACAAATACTCCGACTAAAATTAAAAAATCTTTCAGAATGGGTAAAAAGTGAGTACTCTGAAATTTCACATGTGGTTCTACAAAGTCAAAGTTTTACTGTAAGAAATAAAGCGTGCGGTATTTAATACTGGGGTGATTATTTGTATTAAATGTGATGTATTTACCAGCACTGACAGACCTGGGTGGTTGCCCGTGTTGCACGGGCCGGGCATGGTTATCAGATTCTCTCGCTAGTTTTTTTGTCTATCATATGTACTAAGCTCGTCCTCGTACAGTACCTGTACATATACAAGCTGAGCACGGATGAATATTGGCTTACGACTATTTAAAATTACGTCGTATCTTCGTGTGTTGGATTGTGTTGCAAAGTCAGAATGGCAAAGCCAGACAGGCTACAGCTACTTATTCAGGATGGTTAATTGCCGGCGGTGAGAATTGTGGGTGTTGACCTTTTGCCCTAAAGTTTTTTGGTTCATGGCTCGGCTGCTAAGTTTCTGCTTATTCTGCTGAATTCTACTGAATCTGAGAAGCTGTTGTAGTGGTTTATCAGTGGGCGAAGTGATTGGTTAAGTGTTCACTCAGCCAGGGGAGCACAAGAAACGCAGAGGCGAAGCCGAAAATTTTTCTTGTTCAAATTTGTAAAGCTCGTGGCAACAGAGCTGCCCATCTTAGCCCTATGGCATCCATGGTAACAAGCTTTTCAGTGACCACTGGGCCTACGGCGATCGCAATGGCGAAAGGACAAGAGTCTAAGAACACTCCCCGCACTGGAAGGATTTTTATGCAATTTAAAGCAAAAAAATCGATTGAGTAGAAGCGGAGATCACGCGTTACAATCAGGAGAGGCCGAAGGTCTGCAAGAGATGTTTAGTATTCATATAACAATTGATTATAATTATTGTTGCAACGAGAATCCACAGATCACAAAATCTTGTTCAATTTGGCGATGCAATACAGTCACAAGTTTCCTATAATAGTGATAGAATTGTACTAATTAATGCACAGCCTCAGCCGACTACGGAAGTAGGCGGCCTAATCACACAGAACATTTCGTCTAAGTTGGCCGATGCGAGGCGCTGTTCCCAAGACAGAGGCCGCGTTCCCGCGTTGGATGTCAATGCTGTTCCGTTGGCGCAGATACTCCGTCGCCCGTACCTTGTCTGTTTCCTGTTGTATCATTTCCCGACTTCGGTGACCAAATGAGAGGCGTCCGGTCCGAGTGCTCTGTTTCGACGCCTATACTGCACGGAACAGGTAATCTCGGGTGAGTTCCCGATACTTTGCCGCTCAATTTATCCTGTTCTGCGCGCGCCGCAGCTGCCCCCGCTTGCTTCGATGTTGCCGCGATGTGCGACAAGGCTACCGTGCACACACATGTGGCGTCCCACGGTCCCAGGTCAACATCTTTCCTCTTTCCCATGGGACCAAAGTCACTCCGTCGGGGCGCTTGCCATTGGTAAGACAAGTGCCAGGTGGTTCCAGTTCCGTTTCAATACCGGCGGAAGCAAAGGCGCGTTTTAAAGTGGCATTGATACAGCTATGTCTGGGCTTCCGGCCCCGGCATTTTTTACAACTCAGGCCATGGTATCCTTGCTCATCGGCCCATTCACCGCACAATTGCAACGGTGTGGAATGGTGACTGCCTGACTGGTACGCCGAGGCGCAGGCCGACAGCAATTCTGAGTGTGGTGTCGTTTAGGAAGTTACCGAGGGATACGGCTGGAAGCTTCCAGCCGTGTGCCTCTGGATTGGGAATTACGAGTCATCCAGAGGCACAAACCAACCCAGCTAGCGTAGTTTCTGTTGGACGCTGCTGTCATCCGGCCGTTAAGCCGTTTAGGTGTGTTACTGTGTACGAAGACAGTTATTTCTGTAGGAAACCACATCAGTGCAGCGCCACATCTTATAATTGGCTTGTAGCCGTATCGCTATAAGCGGTTTCTCTTCCCGGCAAAATTCGTTCAGTGGAAAACGGCTTTGATAGTGCTTACTGCCGAGTACAGTACGGTGCGGACCGTACGGTAGGATCAGAATTGTTTTTTACCGGGGATACTGAAAGTGTAATCTCGCGTAAAACATGATGCCGCATTCTAAAATCTCTTTAGTTGTGCAGCCTGCACCAATCGCGCGGACGTGACATGCGGAACATCTTGCGACCGGCAAGACCCACACGACCGGACTTAGCTGCACGTATGCGCCGGGGTTGACGTTCCGGCGGTGCCGTTCCGGCGTCCGTCTCTTTTTGGCACCGTTGATGGGTGCCCGATCAGCGCAGCCCTTAGGTTTAGGCTTATTGGCTAACGTTACTAGACACGAGGAATTGCTCCTTATCGAGATCTACCAGACATAAACGGAAAATACGAGCAAAAAGAAACAGAAGACGAACCCCTGAAATTTTAAGATGCTGATCATCAAGTGATTCTTAAGCAAACTACTGCAAAACAACTATAAAAAATTATTTTGAGGCAACTGTTCCTTAATTCAAGGAATATTCTCCCAAGATATTTCGTCCAGTGCTTTCTGGCCAAAGTTCATACTGGGTGATGAGCTGTTCCATCTAATTTGCCTTCATTCCGCAGCTTCACAGTCCAACCGGAAAATCGCTTCCCTTGCCGCGACAGTCGCAATGTAGTGTCAGCGGATTAATCGGAAATGGGCGTCGAGCATAAAAGCATGTCGTGTCTTTTATGCACCATTTTCAACGGCATCTAAGCAGGGCGCCATCCGAAGGAAACCGAGAAACGGCCGGAAAATGCACCGATAAGGGAATCGAACCCCGTAAGATCGTAAGATCGTCGTAAGATCGGCGTAGGCAGTATCACTGCACCACGGCGCAAACGGCAGTAACGGATTCTTAGCTAACAAAGAGCGAGTCGCAAAATGGATTCCCAGTTTGTAGGCTAGAATCAAAGAGGTTAGATGTAATACAACTGAACACTGTCCCAGCCGCTCTCACGGAAACGGCCTAAATGTGTCTGCGGCAGTGAACTTGGTGTCCACTACCAGGATTCCCCTGTTGCGAAATGCTTCCGTTAGACTACGGCATCGACTTGAAAGTATGTAGTTGACCTTGGCACCGCAGAAATAAGTGGAACAGGTAAATTAATACCATCCGGTACTTTCAGCTAAAAACGACTTTTACCGCTACTAAGATATTATAAGTATGGGGACCTGCACTTTTCTCTGGTTATATCTGCATTCGTTCCCTTCGCATTTGGGTGTTGTACTAACTGTAGTGTGCATAATGGCACAGCACTGGATACTGAATTAAGGGAAGTAACCCCGGAACATGACATTAAATTCGTGTATATTATGGGAAACTTCCACTTTCGCGCACTCCCAAACATACTTTTGCTTTGTTTTATGATAGTTTATGATAATTTATGATAGTTTATTTATTTTATGATGTGCCAGATTATTTGTTTATGATATTGGCTTGGAAACCGCTTGTTCGCGCAACATCCGGTGCGGGTGTTATGGCTGTAAGAAAAATCCAAAAAGTTTAAGTACATGCAGGTGTACCAAAAGCTTCATTACGGGCCAATCTCTTTGAGAATTTGCATGGAAACACACACAAGCATCAAGACCGTCCTTACACCAATCCACTGTTCTAACATGTGTTGAGCAGATTTTAAAATGGATTTCGATAATTTTAAAATTTATTTTAAAATGTGAAAAAAAACATGGAAGTCTGGATCGGTGCGACTCAGATATGTGCATTTACGTAAAAAAATTTGGAGAATATAAAATTTTTGTCCATAATGAGACGTTTGGCACTGCGTCATTCTTAAAATTGTTAGAATCTTCTTACAGCCATAACTTCCGAACCGGATATATATTGTGCGGACAAAGGGTTTTCGCCATTATGTACGAATAATGTGGCTACAAAATATCATAAAGCAAAGTAAAAAAGTGTTTGGGACTGCGGATAAGTGAAAGTTGTCGTGCATGTACACGAATTGGATGCTATGTGCCTATAGATATGGATGACTTCGTACACGTTAACTTTTTATAGGCATGTTATTCGATTGTATCTACAGTATCCGGTCGTGTCCCACGATATCCTCTATGTAACCCTTATATACCCTCACCATGTTTGCCTTCCTTTTATCCAATGCCGTATCCAAAGCTGTTTCTCCAGTATCTTTTACATATTCGATCCACCTGTA